TTGTGCCAACTGCCTTTAACCGTACGGGATGGGGGAAAGGACGTTGGCAGCAACGCTACTACGAGTCCCCTCTTTGTTTCCGCGCTCCGCGCTCAATGAAACATGCCCTTTCTGCACCTGTCCGTGCCCGCACCTTCACTTGCAAACTTTGGGGATAGGGTCAAGTGGGGAAAAAAGCATGTTTCAGTTCCTACTATCGGCCCTCTCCAACTAGACTAGCGTTAATCATCAATAAGGATGCATAATTCAGAAAACGCCCTCAGTTCATACGCTGTAAGCAAACTGTGATAGATTCATAGTACATAAGACTCTAGGGCCTTCTTAAAGGCCGTTTGCCCTGCTCGTAGACTGGCTGCCAAATGTTTGACCACGCTGGACGAATCGGTACACAGTTCATATCTGAGGGTAACAAGGGGCGTAGCTGACAACAGACCCCAGACTAAAGAGACTGCGAAATCAGCCGGGCCCGGGTTTTGCAGCGGCACCACCCTCTTTGGTCAGAACACCTCTATTCGCCCTTCGAAATGGACGGTGCTGACGATTGGTTCACAAAAGGCCGTCCATTTTACCACTGGACGACAACATTTTTTACCCCTGGTCTGCGCAATAATGGGCGGGATACGAAGATGGGCGGGGTTTGCAACGCGGAAAAGGCTCTTATGTTGTCGGTTTTCGCATTCAGTTTTTCAGTTCGTTCGACAAGGGAAAAAATTCGTGTGTACTTTATTATATTTGTCAACATCATAATTAGAATTTATAGTTTGTAATGGTGGGTGCACCAAAGTCTCACTAAGATCACTCTGAGGGGTCAAAGGGATTGCCAGCTTTTGAGCAGCTTTGGCGCTTTATCAGAACCTCTAAAAGGAGCTACAGTAGAGTCAAATATGTCAATTCTAGTAGACAGCCAAATGTTTCTATTCAGGAATGATGTGCGCCATGTTTGTTATCATATTTATGCGAGTACAAATTGAACAACGGGCCGTGCTATTTGGGACGATCGGGTCCATTCCTGGTCTCATAATTGGCTTTAAATATGTAAGCATTTTCAACTTGACCTTATCATAAGATTACTGGTAAGGCTATTCGAATTGCGGTGGAGTCTAGAACCCAGCTCAACTCTTTCTAGGTAGTTGACCTGACTTACTGTAGCACTTGCGTGTGAAGAGAAGTAGTCACAGAATGACCAAGGGTTCTCTATTACAAGTAAAAGATGTACAATGTCTGAATTTAGCCTAACAATGAAGAAATTAGGGAAATTACTGATTCGAAGGCAGTGGGCACGATTGCTGGAAAGGCGCGGTTTTCGTTGGTGGAGAGTTCGCATGTAAACTGGTTAGTAATTGGCTGACTGAATTTGTGCGGCCAAACACCTCTCGCGCAGCCCTTCCACCAATGGCGCTGGTAACAACGCCGGCCTCCGGCAATCGTGCCCACTGCCTTTGATCGTTAGGAAAAGTGAAGGGTAAACTTACATCCCAAAGTGTTTTTTTTTTTGAACTCACTTTCATAGATTGTTATCAAGGCATTATACCACAGCTGACAAAACGGTTAAAAAGCAACATGGTCACGATAACATCACCTCAAAGGCCAATAGGATTAATACGCACATGGCATGAACAGAATTTCGTGACCCGACATGGCGCTTGCGTAGGCGCCTTTCAAGGTATAGGGTGCCCTTAAGCGCCCTATCGCGAGGCAGCAAACACTCGTCCCGGACGCCCACCAGGACAGGCATCGCTGTCGCGAAACCCATAGGGCGGTTGTACTTGGCCGCTGCGGAAGGGGGGGGGGGGAAGTCGTATAATCTCAAGCGGTCACTCAGAGCGCAGCATGCTTTCCACGATTTCAGTCGATAGTGGGAGTGGAGCTATTGGATAGTCAAGTATGTTTTAAAAATGAATGTTATTATTGAGTTATATTTCTTTTATCAGCTCTTTAATATTGCTTACGTTTTAACAGCTCCCTCTTTTCATGGGAATATTCCCGTGGATATGTGGTTTTCGTTACTGGCCGCTGGCGGTACTGGGGATGTATCGCAATAGTTAGGCTCGTCTAGGCACAACTAGTACAACGGTGATGTCGATTGTATATGGGGTATATTGGAACGACTGGTATAAGCTTTTCAGAAGTACCCGGATTGTAATAGGAATTATCAAAATAATATAAAGATTTTTATTAGCAATTAGATAAAGTAAAAAATATAGTGTCAGTTTATAGCTGATGTAACTTCTGTAAGTATCGTGTAGGGTATGACTATAATAATTACTGTCTCAAACAGTCATTTCGTAGCTCCGTCGGATGATGCGTGTTGTCCTTTACAAACCCTAAACAAACATCTGCTTGCATGGATAAAAGCACCTGAAATTAGAATTTACACCTTTCCACCACCTCTCCGTAGGAGCCTAATGCACGGCGCGGACCAAACCGATTAGTGATAGCCGAGCTCCTCTTCCACTCATTTGAAGGGAAATATGTATTTTGGTTAGGCTCACACTGAAAGGTGTATCCTCACAATGGCACATAAGGAGTCAATTTTTCGGGTGGTCCAGGGGGTAGCGCAAGGGTAACCCATCTAAAATATCTCCTGAACTAGTGGGTCTTCAGAAAAACCGTGAAGCTTGTTGGAAAGAGAAAGGATGGAGGGGTTTCAGGACGTTTTTAATCCTGATGAAATTGCGTTTGAACGAAGCAATCCTCGCGTGAAGCATGGAAACCAGCTCGCGATTTACCCCTAGCCTATCCAAAACCCATCCGGAATATTTCACCAACGGGGGATTGTTCAGTTTGCAACTAGGTAGAATACACAACAGTAGAAACTTTGCCGTTGCATGCTGCTCACCATTCCTCAAAAGCTCCGCACCTAAAAAAGATATAACCCCCGAACAGACCCCAGGACGTTGGCAAGTCCTCAACAAAGCGCTCCTCAATGAGTTTTTCCAATAGTAAGCTGGTTCGCAGCCTTGCACCTCAGCCTTGTATCGCATATTAATAGCCAAGTATTGGATACGATTTACTGTCCGGCCGTATTCCTTTTTCGATTTAAGTCTTCTGCATTTTTGTATTTTCCATGTTTCGCTTTGTTGTGTCGTGCATGTTTTCATTATTTCCCCGTCACCATTCATTGAATGCACATCTGGGCCCTGACACGCTCACCTTGGGGCTATTTTTTCACCAATTCAGCCTATCAATGATCACCATTAGCCGCTATTTCAATTGTGTTTCTTGTTACAAGTTGCATGTCATACATAGTTATCGAACGAGGAGTTTTATTTTGAATCCTAAGACAAATTATATTGGTTAGCGGTAATGCGAGTGCTGTTGTGTTCTTCAGTCCTCATATTGCATGAGGCTTTGAAACAGCCTTTTTTTTTTTTCCTTGTATTCTTAGCAGCAAGTTGGCGCCCTTTCGATGAATCCAGATTCCATTTTCAGGAAGTTCATTTGCGTGAACATGCCACTCTGGTTAGTCAGTTATGAGCAGGTATGGGGGGCTGGAGGGTGGTTCGTCGTCTGGACCCTCTTCGAGGCGGGCTGGGGGGTCGTACCTACACCGCATTTGAACACAATCCCCTGCTGTACTGCGCGCCACCCTCTGCCGCCTCGCCAACCGCGGATGTTTTTAGTAGACATTCACAGTCACGAGACGTTGCCATTTGCGCTTGCGACGCCGTGCCTACGTGTAATGTAGTGTAACGTAGAGCGACGTAGAACGTACTGCTGGCTTTTTGCCAGCAGTAAACGGTTCAATCGGTAGACTCGTCCAAAGCAGCTCCCGCCCTCCACTGTCGCAGTGCAGCGAGGAAATAAAGCCCCCACTTCCGTGTTTTCCCATTTCTGCCTCTTCTCGCTTTCCACTATTTTTCGGCTTATTACTGCGCGCACCGTTGCTCTTCTTCGAAGTGTACATGAAATTATCGTGCCAACTGCCTCTAAGATCATCACATGACGTATTATTTCTAATCTCCATCTTTTTAGTTCGATCCACTCCTTGATGCCTGCTCAGAAGAAAATGCTTTGTCTCTATTTTGCCGTCCTCATTTGCAATAGCTTTATTTATCTTGAATTCGCAAAAGAAGCGAAAAACTTACCAGAAGATCCCGGATTTCAAACTGTGGAAAGCGTTTGTTCTGATTGCCACTGGATTTGTTGGAGGTTCGTGAAGTCTAGAATGGTATTGTTACTTGGGAAGGAACCAAAGGCAACTGGATAGAGCACAAGCAACTCTCATAATTCGGTTTGCGCCAAGTATGTGACTTCCTCTCCAAGTTATACTATAGTTCGCTGCGGAGTTAGGGCTGTGTCATGCGGCTTGCGTTTGTGCACCTTTCTGGATGCCAAACTCGTTCCACACTAATGTGTTGAAGTGGGCAAAGACAATGTATCATACCTCCTTCATTACTGCGCCTCATTTCTACCACCCCCCCTCCCTTTTTCGTCGCTTATTGTCTGTCTTTCAACAAGAAGGCAGAATGGCTCTTCTGACACAGGTTCGTTGACACACTTCATACTGGCCTACAGCCTCAACCGTCCGCAAGTAGAACTAGATAGTACCGCACCTGGTCGAATGGGTTCGAACAGCACAATCATTGACGGACACCATACTTTGTCTGCCTCCAAGTGACGGTTAGGGAAAAAGCGCTAACACATTGGACAAACAATTTATGGGCTGTTCTGATCCCGCCCACAAGATCGGCGCGGAATCTCATTACATCGTGCCATATAAGATTTTTATTTTCGAGAGCGTGGCATTATTCACTTCATCCTCCACACTGCGCCACTATCCAGTCTGCTGAGGAATAGCTACGTCTTGTTCACTACGGACGCTGAGGCCTGTGAGTAGGCTGGGTTAGGCGCGCCGTTAACACATTTTTCCACCAATTGTTGAAGCACGCAAGCTGCAAAAAACAGTGGAAAAGGAGCTGGCGCTGCTCCAAACTCAGCCCTTCCGACACGAACGACCGAAACAATGTGTGGGAATTCCAGAAGCTCAAGCGTTTGAGCGAACTCGTACTTCTAAAGCCCTTAACACACAGAAATTCGGTGACAGGATAACTGTCGCAGACATGGATCCAGTTTCAGCGAAATCGCCCTTCAAATCACGCAGAAGCAGATTTCCTGTAACCTGTGTTACGCCATTGGTATCTGTAAACCCCTTGTCCCAACAACCAGGCCATCTATCTTTGCGCCGTCGACTGTCGGTAGAGGTCTTACCTGAGAGCTTGTGAAGCTGAACACATTGTTCACGAAGGTATCTCGGCTGCAACTGTGAGCGTAAAATGAATGCACATTTATGCCACTATTTTCTCTTGAGTAAACATAACGAGTGGCGCACTCCGAAATCTGGTCACAACCTGCACTTTGCCCATTTCTTTTGTTTTCGAATAACGTCTTTTGAATCTCTTTCGAGATGGAATGCTGGTGAACTCATTTGATTACATTCACGAACTTTTTTCAGGGATCTTCACGGCTTTTGCTGGATCTGGTGTTGATATATGCATCTTCTCCATGATAACACTGCTGTTTAGAGTGAGCGAAAAAACGGCTACACCTACGACTGTAGTACTTATGGGTTTGTTTTTTTAATCTTGAATGTCTACCTTAGCGCAAATCGGCTTGGTAGGGCATCTTGCTCGCTGCCACCGACCACTGCCTGCTACCTATGGAGAATTGTAGATTCCTGCGAAGCTATGCAATTTCGCGAGCATCGTTTACACTTGACAAGAGTTAACAGCTCTCACCGAGAAATCAAATGTCAACAGGATCTGGCAAGAGAAGCTAGCGAAAGTGAAAGTTCGCCCCTCCCGAGGCGAACAGCGCATGAAACCTTATCAAATCTATTGCCGACACTACTAATTCATATCTTTTTCTCCACTAACCTGCCTAACTACTGAAAGGAGTGTTTCCCATCCTGTGGCGAACAGATCGTTACAGTGCAGCGAATTTCTGAGCCCTGTGCTTCGGCTCTATCGCCGTCCTCAATGGGTTCTTTTTGGCTTTTTTTCTTCCTCGGCACGTAGTTCCGGCATGACTGCCTTTGAGGAGAGCTATCTTGCCAAAACTCTGGGCTGAATAAAAGCATTCCACAGTGACCATCT